TGAAACCCGGGTTTGAAAAAAAGGAGAACAATCTAACACTTTAATAGAAGCATATTTTTATAAAAAATTCGCGAAAAAACAAAAAAAAATTGCATATATCGTTAAAATGTTTCTGTGCCCAGACTTTTGTGGTACAGTGCATATATTTTTGTTTTTGGAAAGGCAAATGGTTATTCGATAGCAATTAATTTCGAATTTTGTTGTTGTGCTTCACATTTCTCTTAAAGAACCTTAAGCTGTGATTTTGGTAAGAGCGAATAAAAATCGCTCTTACCGAAACCGCTGTTTTTAGCTAAGTGTCGGCGTTAAATATTTGATCGCCCCATTTGTATGACAAATCATGTGCATCATTTGTGAAATTGGAGCAAAAGCTTTGTTAAGCACTTAGCAAAAACTTGAGCGCAAGTTTTTTTTATATATATTTTTTAAGATAAAAGGCATCCAAGTACATTTTAAAAATAAATAAATATTTCTATGTAATGCGTATGAGTCATACGGTATGACACATTACCTTGTAAGCAAAAACCACAGGAGTCAAATATGTGGTACACATCTGCATAAATATGTATGTATGTCTGTGGCATTTCATTAAAATAGTTCATCTCGAAATAGGCCATTTTTGCTTTAGCGCAATATTTCATTGGGTTCCTAAACAATATTTTAACGATAAGCTATCCATGGGCGTAGGTTCAGATGCCCTTTTAATAGAAGCTTAGTAAAAATATATAATTTTTCAAGGGAAACTTACTAAATACTACATAATGTATACAATTGGAATCAAATATGATATATTGCTTATCCCCAATAGCCTATGATATAATTTTAAAACTATTTAGGGGCTTCCCTTAAACTGGAAAAAGCCTTGAAAGCTTCGAAAAACTCAAAACTTTTATGGCGAGGTCAAGATTTGTATGAATTAAAAAACCCAGTTTGATCGAAAAAAAATCCGGTTTATTCGATAATCAAAAAATCAAGCTTTCAAAAAAACCGCATATAATATAATAATAATAGATGGCGTTTACACATATGTCTGTTATATGGTAGACAGATGAACAAAATTAATTTGAATTAAGAAGCAC